GTCCAGCAGCTCCACAGGCATGATCTCGGGGACAGCAGGCCCCTTGTCTGGCGTGAGAGTGCACGTTGGGGGATTCAGGACTTCACTGCGTCAGATTCCTTTTCAGAATCTTTTCCATGAAATGCGGCCTTCTAAACCCAGCTGGGAAAAGCGTTAGAAGAGATGGGAGGTGGCCAGCATTTTATATGTACGATTTCTTGGCGAGGGTGAGGAGAAGGGGTGGGTGTGTGGCGTGGCCTTCATCTGCCGCAGAAAAATGGCCTCCCGTGTTCCCAGGGGGCTGTGGGGCCCTGAGTGGTTTGCCACAGGAGGGAGAGTCATGCTGACGTCACAGCACGCCACGTGGCTTCACTTGTCCCAGTGTTCCTGCGTGCTGTGCTGTCCGGGGCGTCATCCCGCACGGGAAGCCTGCCCTGCCCAGAAACGGTAGAAATGACAGTTGTGGCCGCAGAAGCTCAGCATGAGTGCGGTGGTGACTGGTTTTCGAGAAGGTCACAGAGCCTGTCGCGCTCTTGCTGCCTGGACAAGGGCCAGGGGAGAGTTGGGTCCCCTTGGACAGCATCTATGGGCCTTGGGAGGAGGCAGACCCTGGGAGGCACAGGACGGCCAGAGTGTCTCCCGCTGCGGCTGTCCTCAGCCCCTCCTTGTCCCCTCACCTAGGCCGGCACATGCAGCAAGAGTGACTGCTCGCGGCTCCTTGTCTGCTCTGGGGGATGGGGAGGCGGCCTCACTGTGACTGACTGCTTGGCAACAGTGGATCCCTTTCAGGGCCAGCATTTTGTCCCTGTCCAGGTTTAACATAGACAGGTCCTTCAGGTCAGGCAAGACCCCAGAAGCTGGACAGCAGTTTGGTTAGGAGCAGTGGTCTAAGTTTTGTACAGAGAACCTGGTGAGGTTACTTGAACAGTGTGTTAGCTGAGGTTGACATGGGTTTCTAGTAAGTTCCGGGAGACGCCTCTGGGACCAGCCACACCACACGCTGGCCTCGGTGCTTAGTTCCATGTCAGTCTGACCTCAGATAGTTGGCGGGGGGGGGGGGGGGGGGGAGGTCGGCTTTGTGAATGAAGGGCTGCTTTGATTAAATTTGTTGTTTTCAAATACACCTAAAAAGGGGAAGTTTTATTAATGCTGAATTATTTTGTTTGTTGAAATAGCTGGTGTAGCGGACATGGTCTCGCAGTGGCCAGTGTGGTAGACACAGTGCATCCTCAGTATTTAGTGACTGAGTTGGGTGAGTGGAATCGGTGTCTGCCAGTCCAGGGGCCCAAGGGTGCGAGGTGGTGGCGCTTGAAGAAATGAGACACTCACAGCAAGGCTGGCGGCACAGCTCTGGCCCTCGAGCCCCAGACTTCATTTTTATGTAATAAGTCACACAATGATTCTTTCTTCTTACAGTCACAAGTCTGCTGTCCACTTTGATCTAGTGACGATTTCTTTGGTTTTCAAGGGCACATTCAGAGCACAGACAGGTGCGAGAGAGCGGGCCGCCCACACAGCCAGGGCCTGAGTGCTGCTGAGCTATGCAGAGACTGGCTACCCCAGTGAGAACAGTGCCTTCCTAATCTGACCTTTACTGGAAGCCCCAAGGTCACAGCAGGCCCTTTTTCAAATGTGTCCCCTCTCTGCAGTTCTTTCTGTAAGTAATTTCTTTATTGTGCTTATTTAAGGTTCACTTAACTCTTCTACAGTTTAGACATCCTAACCATGGCTGTATTTGTAGCACATACTGAATTAAAGCTTTAATCACATTGATTCTTGTTTAGTGGGGAGTCGACACTAGGGAGCCTGTTGCCTTTTAATTCTTACCCACAAACAGCTCAACCTTGCAGAAAGCTTAACCCCTTCTCCAACACAAAGTTCTGCTTGATTAAAATTCTACAAAGCAGTGGACATTTTGGAGGTTATGAGACTAAGCGCTTTTCCCTACAATTAGGAATACAGCAATCATTAGCTCCGGAAGGAAGCTCTGTCTTCTTGTGCAGAGCGCAGGTCCCAGCAAACCCAAAACCACCAGGAGGACACAGCTGTCCTCCTCACGCCTTGCTGAGACAGACCTGCGTGACCTTGTCAGCCAGCCGAGCTGCCTCGCCCTCGCCCGCGTCAGCTGTCCTCGGGGTGAGACGCTGGGGCGCAGGCTCCTGTTCTTTGCACTCACTCACTGTAGTCGCGTGTCCTGAAAATGAGTGGAACAGGACTCATTTGAAGTCGCGACCCAGGCGCCGTGACCTCGCTGAGTAACCGCAGCTTTCTTCTTAGTGGGATCCCAGTCTGGACTTCGCATGGGCAGGTTCGTGATTCCTGGGTTTTCTGGAACTTTTCTGTCACCACCTTTCTTTATTTTTCTAAGTTTACTTTCATCTACTTGAGAGGCAGAGAGAGAGTGAGGGAATTGCCTTCTGCTGGTTCACTCCCCAAATGCCCGCGACGGCTGAGGCTGGGCCAGGCCGGTGCCGGGAACCAGAGCCAGGAACTCCACCGGGTCTCCCACGGGGGAGGCGAGGACGCGAGGACTGGGCCTTCACCTTCCTTCCCAGGTGCATTAGCAGGGAGCTGCGTCAGAAGCAGAGGAGCCGGGACCGGCGCTGGCACTGCGGGGTGGGCTGTCAGTGGGTGCCTGCCCCGTCACCATCTTCTCAGTGGGTCTGTGCATCTCGCAGCCGGATGTGGGATTTGATGCCGTGTGGCCCAGCCTGCACTCCATGCTGCAGCTCCCTCTGGAGACAAGCAGCTGGTGACACAGAGAGGATTCTGGGAGGAGGGCCGTTGGTGGAGCTGCTGTGCAGGGAAACCTGGTCCTCAGCGCTGCCGAGTCACTGAGTAGAGAGAGAGAGAGAGAGAGAGATCTCCCTTGGCTGGTGCCCTCCCCCAGGCGTCTGCAGCTCCCAGTCGGGACCAAGCGGAAGCTAGGAGCCAGGAACTGTACCCAGGTCTCCCACGTACGCAGAGGAGGCCCAAGGTCCTGGGCCAGCTTCCGCGGCTTCCCCAGGCACATTAGCCGACACTGCGGCCGATTCCCCGTGCCGCAGCGCTGGCGCGCTCTCCGTGCTGTTCAGGAGCAGAGGCACTGCGGGCCAGGTGGCGCCCCTTATTCTGACATCTGGGGAGACTCCCTGATGGGGTGATCGGGGTTTGTAAGCAGTTGGTCAAGTCCACTGCCGTCTGCTTTACTTGTCCTCCAAGGATTTGTTCTGAAAGTGACGTCATGCCCTGGGTTGGAGAGAAAGTGTAATGTATGTATGTATGAGCAGTCGTGTGTGCGTGTGTGTGTGCGTGCACGTGTGCCAGTGTGCTGTGTGTGCTTCAAGAATGCTGTGTATGTGCACACACATGCGTGCTCTCTGCGTGTACACACATGTGCCATTGTGCAATGTGCCCGTGTGCTCATGCATGTGTGCCCGTGTGCTCTGTATGTGCCTGTGTGCCCGTGTGCTGTGTGCTCCGTGTGTGTGTGCATGTGTGCCAGTGCCATGAGTTTGTGCCTGGGCTGCATGTGTGCTTCAGGAATGCTGTGTGTGTGCACTTCAGAACACATTGACTTGGTGGTTGCTGTGTGTGATTGTACATGGCGTGCGTGGAGAGCAGGACAAATGGAGGCGTTGAGTTTAAAGCATGGACCATTGCTTAATGTTGATTCCCAACAAAATCAAACCCGAAGTCTTCCAAGTGACCGCAGACTGATTTTAATTATTTTCATTTTATTTCAAAGTCCAAGTGATGCAGAAATAAAGTGAAAGAGTGAGAGAGCGAGAGAGAGACCCTTCCATCTACTAGTTCACGCCCCAGAGAGAGCACGCGCAGAGAGAGAGAGAGAACCTCCTGTCTGTTAGTTCACTCCCCAGAGAGAGAGAGAGAGAGAGAGAGAGAACCTCCCGTCTGTTAGTTCACTCCCCAGAGAGAGAGAACCTCCTGTCTACTACTTCACTCCTGAGAGCGAGAGAGAGAGAGAACCTCCCGTCTGCTAGTTCACTCCCCAGAGAGAGAGAGAGAGAGAGAGAGAGAGAACCTCCCGTCTACTACTTCACTCCTGAGAGAGCGAGCGAGAGAGAGAACCTCCTGTCTGCTAGTTCACTCCCCAGAGAGCGAGAGAGAGAGAGAACCTCCCGTCTGCTGGTTCACTCCCCAGAGAGCGAGCGAGAGAGAGAGAACCTCCCGTCTGCTAGTTCACTCCCCAGAGAGCGAGAGAGAGAGAGAGAGAACCTCCCGTCTGCTGGTTCACTCCCCAGAGAGAGAGAGAACCTCCCTTCTGTTAGTTCACTCCCCAGAGAGCGAGAGAGAGAGCGAGAACCTCCCGTCTGCTGGTTCACTCCCCATGTTCCTGCAGTAGCCAGCGCTGGGCCAGGCTGAGCGCAGGAGCCCAGGACAGTCTGGGTTTCCCGTGGTGCCTAGCACTCTAGCCTCCGCCGCTGCATTAACAGGAAACCTGGAGTCGGGACTTGGTCCGGGCTCTGATACGGATGACGGGGTGGGAACCGTGTGCCAGGCGTTCAGCCCACACTGATCTTTATTTCCGCCTGTGCGCCCCGTGGGGTGTTGCTGTTCTTAAAGGGCCAGGTCACCAGGGTGCGGGACGTTCTGTGAAGAACCCTCACGGCGTGGGGGAGCTCTGACCGCAGTGGCTTTGACCCAGCGAACCCGTTGTAACTTGGAAATGCACTGCACGCTGCCGCCTGCTGGGCACCCTCGCCGGCCGGCCTCACGGCGCTCACGTGAGCCTGTGTTTGGGGGAGGGCGCAGCGCCGAGCCTGTTGTAGGTGAGTCCTGTGCTGACGGTGCAGAGCGGAGTGATGGCGCAATTGAGCCTCCACCGTGGTGACGGTGCAGTCGGGACTGGAAGCTTCCTGGGTCCCAGCCCTGCTGTGTGGTAGCTTGAAGATGGGAAGCAGCAGGCCAGGACCGGGGGCCCCCACCCGGGCGCCTTCCGAGGAGAGCCGGGACCAGGGGACCACCCGGCACCTTCCCAGGCAGAGCCGGGACCAGGGCCCCCTCCCGGGCACCTTCCCAGCAGAGCGGGGACCAGGGCCCCCTCCCGGGCACCTTCCCAGGAGAGCTGGGACCAGGGCCCCCTCCCGGGCACCTTCCCAGGAGAGCTGGGACCAGGGCCCCCACCCGGGCACCTTCCCGGGAGAGCCGGGACCAGGGCCCCCTCCCGGGCACCTTCCCGGGAGAGCCGGGACCAGGGCCCCCTCCCGGGCACCTTCCCAGGAGAGCCGGGACCAGGGGCCCCTTGCCGGCGCCCATGCGGCACGTTTCCGGGGGTGGTGGCTGTCGAGGGGCAGGACCGCAGATCGCCCTCCAGAGCTCCCAGGCGGCCTCCGCCGGGTGCGCGTGTACGGACAGCTGCTGCTCACCAGGCCTGCCGGGAGTTTGCTGGACTGAGGAGGAGGAAGTTGGCTCCTTGAAGATGTCTTAGCGGCATAACGAGTTGACGAGCCCTTTTGAAAGTGCTGGCTTCTTTTAGAGGGGCGCTCCCTGGCACCTGCAGAGCTGCTGGGACACACGTGTGCTCCGGCGGGCAGCGACAGGGCTTCAGCCAGGGAGCGAGCCAGCAGCCAGCAGCTGAGTCATAACCTCGAGCGGTTTTCCTGCCGCAACAAAAGCTGAAGTCATTTTCATGTTGTCATGAAGAGAAAATTATTTTCTCTCTCTCTCAAGATTTATTGATTTATTTGAAACAGAGTTGGAGAGAGAGATCTTCCATCTGCTAGTTCCCTTTTCAGATGGCCACAATGACCAGGGCCAGGCTAAGGCCAGGAGCTTCTTCCAGGTCTCCCATGGGGGTGCAGGGGCCCGAGGACTTGGGCCGTCTTCTGCTGCTTCCCAGGCCACAGCAGAGAGCCAGGCTGGTTAGAAATCAGTGCCGAGGGCTCCGCAGTGCTCCCCGGAGAGCCTGCAGGTGCCAAGAGGAGCTCAGCATTCGTGTGACACCATCTGTTCCCCGGAACCGGCCACCCGGCCGGGCCAGGGCTGTGCTGACCGTGTGGGGGAGACCCTGGCTGCCCGGCTGAGCGGGAGGGAGCAAGGTACCTGCGAGCCCTCAGCATGTTCTCAGGAGCGGAAGCACGCAGACTGTCAGCCGTGGGCATTTGCTTCGCTGGCCCCCGGGCCCAGGGCAGTGTGCTGCCTTCCCTGCACAGGGAGGGCAGTGTGGGCCGCGGCATGGGGCTGTCCCAGTCACCCAGGGGCGGTCACCCCCGTTGTTGTGCGCCAGCCAAGCCCTGGCCTGGCAGTGGTGCTGTGCGGGCTTCCCCGCAGCACTGCGTTCGGTAGGACGTCGGCGCCCCCCCATCACAGTGAACACGCGGCAGCTTTGCTCCCATGCCGGGCGTTTTCCAGAGAGCCGCGAGGAGGTGGCCCTGGGAGGGAGGCGGGCTCTGCTCTTCGTCTGGGCTGCAGCTGGCGACACTCGTGGTCACTGGTGGGTGTCTTGCACCTTGAGGCGGCTCCCCGCCTGCCGCCCCACCCCAGGGGCAGATGAGCGGTGCTGGGGGCGCTGCCATCACTGCTGTGGTCATGGGACAGTCTTACTTCCTCGCCCCTTCCACTGCCTGCCCGCCCCAGCTCAGACCTGCAGGGCATGGGAGGACGCGGGGGCCTTGGGTTGGACTTTGCCTTACTGAACCCTCACCTCCCCACCCCAGCCCCACTCAGCCAGGAGGTTCGGATCTGTTCCCAGGAACGTGCCCCATTTGGAGTGTGTGTGTAGATGTGTGCGTGTGTGTGCGTATGCGTGTGTGTGTGTGTGGGTGTGAACAGGCCTCTGTTTTTGCCTCATTGTGTTTCTTAGGTTTTCTGCCTTCTCCCCAGATTGTCACCTGAGGTTCATGCTCCGACTCTGGGAGCCACAGGGTACCCCAGGGGAGATGTGCCTGTGGGTCTCCTGGGGTCCTCTGGACTGCAGCTCTGGCTCTGGGCCTGGAGGCCGTGCGGCGTGTCCTCGCTACCTGTGGGGTCCTCTGAGGTGCCGTGCCCGCTTGCCCTCAGCAGCTCTGTGGAGCCTGCACCGTCTCTCGGTCCCGGCTCGATAGGCGGCAGCGGCGCGAGGTCGGCTCCACGTGCTGCCGTCCCTGGCCGCTCTGGTTTATGAGGTGTTGAGATGGAATCCGGGGAGGCACGGCGGCTTCCCCTCTGTGAGGTCAGAAGGAGGTTGTGTGTAGCCCCTGGCTCTTGGCACTGCTGTGCAGGTGCAGGACAGGGGTCAGGCGGTCGGGTCCCCCAGGCACCTCTTTGCTCTTGGTGAGGTGGCCACTCTTGGAATGTGGGTCTGTGTTTGCGAAGCGCGCCGTGGGTACGTGGGCCGCGTCACCCCAGCAGGCTGGCTTCAGAGTGAGTGGCAGCCCTGGGCCCTCCGCTCCGTGTGCCTGGCCGCACAGCGAGCGGCGCGGCGTCCGTGCAGAGTGCTGCTGAGCCTGCTCTTTGCGTTTCCTCCGGGCGGATTCTCGGTCGCATCCGGAATTCTACATCTGAACAGTTCTGAGAAGTCCTCGGGCTTCTTGCATTTATTTTGGGTTTTGCATCAGTTTTGCGTGATCTCAGCCGGGTATTAAAAAGAGTTTTGGAATTGGCCGCAGATCGAGGAAAACCAGATGGGTGAGCGCCAAAACATTGTGCTTTCAGACCCAGAATTCCCTTAGTAGGCGGCTTCGCATTCAAGCTTCCTGCCACGTCCCTGTTGTCTGGAAATAATCGGGAGGAAACCCTCACACCCTCCGAGTGCAGCCAGCAACAGGCCCTGGCTGCAGCGGTCACTCGCGTGACAGCGTGTGCAGCCTGTGGGGCGCCTGCTCAGGGTCAGACGCGGGCCATCTGGAGTGGTGCTGCTGGCTGCTGGCCTGGGCGCGGGGCCTCAGCCCTGGCCAGCAGCAGGTCTCCCCTGGGCCTGCAGGGTGGCCCTGATGAACACAGAGGCCAGCAGGCTGGAGGAGGGGTTGCGAGTTCACTGTCAGGAGGGTAGTGGACGTTGACTCACGTGTCCGTGATGGCCTTCGTCAGACTTGGTCTTCGCTTCCTGGTACCAGGGCTCAGCTGCCTCCCGAGCAGGGAGCACCTGACCAGGGTTCTGATCCCTCGTCTGGGACATGCGCTGACCCCGCACCTGATCAGGGTTCTGATCCCTCGTCTGGGACGTGCGCTGACCCTGCACCTGACCAGGGTTCTGATCCCTCGTCTGGGACGTGCGCTGACCCCGCACCTGACCAGGGTTCTGACCCCTCGTCTGGGACGTGCGCTGACCCTGCACCTGACCAGGGTTCTGATCCCTCGTCTGGGACGTGTGCTGACCCCGCACCTGACCAGGGATCTGATCCCTCGTCTGGGACATGCGCTGACCCTGGCGTGGGACCTGACCAGGTGTGGTCCTCAGCGTGTTGTCACTACAGTGAAGTACCCAAGGCAGCTAACTTCATGAAGAGAAGTCTGTTTGGCTTGCAGCCTTGGAAGTTCAAGTCCAGGATCAGCCTCTGGTGCAGGCAGTGGAGTGGTGGGAAGGCGGGGAGCAGAGAGGCCGCCGCCTCGGGCCAGGCGCTGCTGCTGGGTGAGGTTTATGCCCCGCTCAGCACTGGCCGTGACTCGGACGTGATTGTCTGTTTAGGTCGTGTTAACATCACTGCAAGGTTTCTAACCAGTTTAAAATCCAGGCCAAGCCGGCAGTGGCTATGCCTTGAGGAGCCGCCAGCCCACAGCAGGCTGTTGTGTGACGGATGGATGTGCACTTCATTTCACTCGTACCCTGGTGAGGATGACCTGCCAGAGACTGACAGGGTCACAGAGCAGGGAGCCACGCCTGGGCTGCAGGGGCCTGGGCTGCAGGGTGCCCAGCTGCTGCTGTGTCCGTGCCTGGCCTGGGCTCTTGTAAAATTCAGCGTTTATTACTTGTTCTTACATACTTGAAAGGTGGAGCAGCAGAGAAAGATTGCTGTGGCCCCACGTGCCCACCGTAGCCAGGAGTGGGTCAGGCCAACCCCGGGACCCTGGAGCTCCGTCTGGGTTGGCAGGCGCTGGAGCCGCGTGCTGCTGCCTTGCCGGAAGTCGGGCAGTAGCTGGACTTGAATTGGTGCCCCCAGGAGGTGCAGCCTGACCTGCTGAGCCACACCTCCGTGCGCGTGCTCAGTTCAGCATCCCCACCCGCCGTGGCCTTGGCGGTCGTCATGCTTGAAGCCCTTTCGTAGTTCATGTGATTTCGTTGTTCATCATGAAAACCATAGGTGAAAAAAACAACCCACAGGGCCAGTGTTGGGCGGGAGGCCCCTGCCAGCCTGGACCTCCCTGGCCATGGGGCCGACCACCAGGAGCTTCTAGCAGCCGTCAGATGACGTGTCCCGACCACTCGCTACAGCCTGTTCCCAGGGGACCCTGGGCCGCCTCCGGCCCACACCGCAGCCTTTGGGAAGCTCACTTCTGCGTCTGGACTCTGCGGGAGTGGAGAGTCCAGGCATTGTCCAGGCAGGGCGGACATGTGTGCGGCAAACGTGCCTCTCGTGTGCTTTCCGGGGCTGCGGTGTGGGCGGGCCTGCCTCGTGCCGACCTCAGCACCGCTGGCGTCCAACACGCAGCCCGGGGAGCGGCCTCGGCAGCTCTCTCCTGCTGCCTCTCCCTCCCTGCTCGTGGTCCCGTTCTGGGGGTTCCACAGGTCTCCCTCCCTGCTCGTGGTCCCGTTCTGGGGGTTCCACAGGTCTCCCTCCCTGCTCGTGGTCCCATTCTGGGGGTTCCTCAGGTCTCCCTCCCTGCTCGTGGTCCCGTTCTGGGGGTTCCTCAGGTCTCCCTCCCTGCTCGTGGTCCCGTTCTGGGGGTTCCTCAGGTCTCCCTCCCTGCTCGTGGTCCCGTTCTGGGGGTTCCTCAGGTCTCCCTCCCTGGTCGTGGTCCCGTTCTGGGGGTTCCTCAGGTCTCCCTGCTCGTGGTCCCGTTCTGGGGGTTCCACAGGGAAATGCCTGTAAAGAGCCGTGCCCTCCCATGTTGGAGTCGGTGCTCTGTAGGGCGCGAGGACGCGGTGCGGCCACCTTAGCGGGGTTCCAGCCTGCGTGCCCTCTGCCAGGGCCTCTTGCACGTGGACAGTGTCCCCTGCAGTGGCCGAGGCACCAGCAGACTCCGTGGAGACCCACCCCTGCCTGCATCCCCGCTTCCCGCCTCCCCTGCCGACTTCCTCAGCGGTCGGGAGCACGAGGCCGGGGAGGAGTCACAGCAAGTGGCTGAAAAACGCTGTTTTCCAATCTTGTGCACATTAAGTTTTTAACTCATTCCTGAGATGCTTATCACAACCAAACCAAGAAGGGACTCCCAGCTGAGAGCGGGCTTCTGTTTACTTCACCCGAGTCGGGCGGTAGCCTGTCTGTAGCTGCAGATTGAGACCTGAGGTTCCGGTCAGCGCCCGGCTCACGGGACGAGCGTCTGGCTGGCAGTGATGAGCAAGTCCGTGTGAGGCGCCGTGAGATGCCCTCCGTTTGCCGGGGCGGTGAATCTGCCCCAACCTGTGGACAGGCAGAGCCTTCTCGGCAGTGAGCCCCCAGCTCCATGGAGGACGTGACCCTAAACTCAGCTACTCAGGGAGCTTTTAAAATGTAAAGTGATTATAAAAATAGGACCATATCACGGTCCCTAACATTCTAACTTGGATTCTGTAAACACGGCAGAGATTTTGTTTTTCGGATTTAGTCCAGGATTTAGCCTCTCGGTGCTGTGGCGAGGCCGCCGGGACGCCAGTCCCTGCTCCCACTGCCAGGTCCTCTGCACCTCCACCGGCAAAGGGAGCGGCCCGGACCCCATCTGACCCTTCCTGGCTGTCCCCACGGGAGCTCTCGGCAGGGCCCTGCCTGACCCCCATCGGCAGCGACTTGGTGGCCCACTGCTGTGGGAAGACGAGGGAGCAGAGTCCGAGTTCGTGTCCTGGTCTGGATGACGATTTACAAGACCAAGCGTGAGGGTGAGGGCTGGGCTGAAGTGTTTTTTAAGTAAGAAGCTCCAAAGGGCTGGTAGAAGGGACGAGCCGCTGGGGCCGCGCGGTCTAGGGGGTTGGTGTCCTCCACCCGCAGTCTGCGAGGGCAGTGCAGTGGTCACTCAGGGGCAGTGTAACAGGCTCTTCTGACTTGCTCCTGCCCACATCTCAATCTCGTTGTCTGTTGACAAATATTCGTGACGATGGCTTCCTCCTGCCCTCTTCAGTGCTGCAGAGAGCTGTAGGGCGGGGCCCGTCCCGGGCTCCCCCAGCTTTCCTCCCTGAGAGTGAGCCGCTTGTCCCTGTCAGCTAGAAGGAGCCGGTTCGGGTTGCGTTGAGTGTTTGCTTGTTGGGGGACAGAGGGGCCTCCAGTGTGCAGCCGGCCCAGTGTCCTCTGGGACTGCCTCTCCCCTTTGTTAGCCTTGCCTGCGTCCCTCCCTGCTCAGACCTGGCTGCAGGGACCCTCAGGCCAGGCCCCACACACTGCCTCTGGTGCAGGGCAGGCCTACTGGAGGGTTCCGTGCAGGTTTGATGGCCGGGTTTGTGGCCTCTTCTGCCCTCCGGCCCCCTCTGCACACCACGCGCTCCTGCTCTGGCTCGGGCGGATGCCCCTGGTGGCGGCAGACGCCTGCCCCCGGTTCCTGCTGCCTCCCGAGCCCAGCAGCTCACCTGACCCACAGACTGCCCGCTCACGCCAGCCCCTAGGCTAGAGCGCTCAGCACTGCCCCTCCACCGCCCGGTCGTGTTTGCCTTCCTGCCTTGCAGTGCCCAATACGCAGTGCGTCCTTCCTAAGTGTTCGCACTTGGTTCTGGGGGAGGGGGTGACGCGGGAGAGGCCGCTGGCCAAGCAGGTCTGGGAGCAGTGGCCTCACTGTGGGGCGCCTGAGGGCTCAGCCAACGCTGGTCAGGGCAGCCGCACGCAACAGCGACCGGTGATGTCCGGTCTCGAGAAACCGATAGTGAAGCAGACAGGGCCGGTGTGCGCTCTAAGCTCAGGCGCACCACAAGTTCTGTTGCTTGCTGCCGTCGGGTGTAGCTGCCGTCGTGGGTTTAATGTGCCCGCAGCAGGAGCCAGTGCTTTTGTCATTGGGTTATCTGCCAACAGCTTTTTTTTTTTTTTTTTTTTTTTTTTTTTAAGATTTATTTGTTTCTTTGAGGCCGGCGCCGCGGCTCACTAGGCTAATCCTCCGCCTAGCGGCGCCGGCACACCGGGTTCTAGTCCCGGTCGGGGCGCCGGATTCTGTCCCGGTTGCCCCTCTTCCAGGCCAGCCCTCTGCTGTGGCCAGGGAGTGCAGTGGAGGATGGCCCAGGTGCTTGGGCCCTGCACCCCATGGGAGACCAGGAAAAGCACCTGGCTCCTGGCTCCTGCCATCGGATCAGCGTGGTGCGCCGGCCGCAGCGCGCTGGCCGCGGCGGCCATTGGAGGGTGAACCAACGGCAAAGGAAGACCTTTCTCTCTGTCTCTCTCTCTCACTGTCCACTCTGCCTGTCAAAAAAAATAAAAAAAAAAAAATAAAAAGATTTATTTGTTTCTTTGAAAGAGGTATCTATAGAGATCTTCCACCTGCTGGTTCACTCCCCCAAATGACGGTAGCAACTTGGGCTGGGAGCTTTATCCTGGTCTCCCACGTGGGTGCAGGGGCCCGAGAGCTTGGGCCATGCTCCACTGCTTTCTCGGGCACGTTAGCAGGGAGTTGGATTGGAAGAGGAACAGCCGGGACTCAAACCGGTGCCCATGTGGGATGACGGTATTGGAGGCAGCAGCCTAACCCACTGCGCCACAGCGCTGGCCCCAGTGGCTGGTTTTGATCTACAGTGGCATTTGGATTCAGAGAACCCACGCTGTGGCTGTCCCTGGGCTCTGTGGGGACCTGGAGTTTTGAGAATCTTGGTAGTAAAAAGGGCCATTTAAACGTCTGCAGCCGCTCAGCCCCGCTTCGGAGCCATGCGAGTCCGTGGTTGTCTGCGCCCAGGGCCTGCGGTGGGAGGGGTGAGCCCCCCCACCCCCACCCGGGGCCCCTGCTGCACCCCAGCAAGGTCATGGGAGGCAGGAGGTCCTCTCGCGCCAGGCCCTTTGTGTTCGGCTTCACCGCGACGTCTCCTTCATTCCTGACAGCACTTAGCTTGGGGCTTCCTTAGAAGACTTGCAGGGGCTCTGGCTCGGGCAGGACACCTGCGGTCCCAGGGCCCCGGAGTCCTGTTGTCACTCACGAACGACTCCAGGGGAAGGCATGAGTGACCCGAGAGACTTCACGTTTTTTCCTCTGATTCTTCCAGATCTTTGAGAAACTCACAGAATGCAAGTGGCTTATAGTGGAAAAGAGAAGTGGCCCCTCCCCCAGCTGCCAGCCTCGCCCCCAGGCAAGGAAAGCCAGGTCTCTCCCTTGTGCTTCCATCATCGCCTGGGGCAGGGGCTGCCCACGTGGGTGAGCAGCCCGTGGGCCCCAGGCCGCTGTCGCAGGGCCGAGGCCGCTCCTCCTGGCGGCTCCAGGGGAAACCTCTCTCCTTGCCTTTTCCAGCTTGTAGAGGCCACCCGCATCCCTTGGCTCTTGACCCCTTCTATCTTCAAAGCCAGCGACCACCAGGTGAGTCCTCACGCTCCGGCCTCGCCTCTGGAGCGACACTGGGCCCACCTGGGTAATCCAGGTCACAGCCCGTCACAGACGCTCACCCGCCCCGCCTCCGTCCACTGAGGGAGGTCCGCTGAGCCTCGTGGGCAGGGCCCCGTCCACTGAGGGCGGTCCGCTGAGCCTCGTGGGCAGGGCCCCGTCCGCTGAGAGAGGTCCGCTGAGCCTCGTGGGCAGGGCCCCGTCCGCTGAGGGCGGTCCGCTGAGCCTCGTGGGCAGGGCCCCGTCCGCTGAGGGCGGTCCGCTGAGCCTCGTGGGCAGGGCCCCGTCCGCTGAGGGAGGTCCGCTGAGCCTCGTGGGCAGGGCCCCGTCCGCTGAGGGAGGTCCGCTGAGCCTCGTGGGCAGGGCCCTCGTGCATAGAGCAGCGCGTTCACCAGGCCTGGGGTCAGGACCTGGACGCCTCAGGGCTGCGTTGGACTGGGCACGTGCAGATGGCCTCTGACGACAGGCGAGTGGTTAAGGCTTCCCGCCCGCCGTGTTGGTTCTGAGCTCCCCTGGCGGATGGAGGCGTGGAGTTGAGGGGAGGGGTGAGGCAGGCGGTGTGTGGCAGTCGCGGACACCCTGTGGCCTGCCCGGGCCCCGCTGCCTTCCCGCGGTCCTGGGGCGCCTGTCGGAGCGTTCCCTGCCGCTGGGACGCCCCTGCAGCTGTGGTAGAGAAACACTTCCCAGAGGAGGAGGGCCTGACGGCGCCTGAGATAAACGCGTGAGTCAGAGCCGTGCAGTAGCTTGATTGACAGGAAGTAGACGTTTGAGAACCTCCCTCACTGATGCCTTGAACGAGAGCCAGCAGGTTCCGAGTTGTCTCTGCAGTGCGTGTGCAGAGGGAGTGACGGCCCTGGTGCCCAGCAGGGGGACGGCGCCCCAGCGCCGAGAGGAGCTGCCCTTCCCAGGCCTGGGGCGCAGGCGCAGTGAGCCGGGCCGCCTGGTGCTCGGCTGCACGCGGAATGAGCCGCGCAGCGTGTGTGCCACAGCACCGTTCTGGGCAGCGGCGAGAAAACCGTGGCCCCTGGGCCGGAACGGAGGCAGAGCTGGCGAGCGCTGCTGGGGTCTTGAAGGCCGTCATGAGGACAGGCTGGGTCTTCCTCATTCAGCCCCACCCACCAAAGGGAGACCAAACTGGACCTGAGCCTGTCACGTCAGCGTGGAGACCGGTGTCCTTTTCCTGTCCGGTCTCCTGGGGAGACGGAAGCTCCTGGGGGAGGGGCGGGGCTCTCGTGCAGGGCAGGGGGTTCTGCCGAGTGGCGGGGGCTGTCAGCTGCACACAGGCAGCGGCGGCTCCCACGTGTGTGTGTGCAGGTGCCAGGCGGGCGTTCTGGCACAGTTGGAACATGCGTGCAACCCAGTTACAGTGGTGTGTGCACACTTTGTCCTTGTCTGTCGTGTTGGACGTTGGGCATACGTGGAGCCATGCCCAGGGTCCAGCCAAGCAGAGGGCAGGGAGGGGCGCTGCGCACGGCTGCCGCGTCTGCCCCGTCTGCATCTGTCCTGGCCCAGGGTGCTGTGGTCAGGGGAGTGGCCAGCAGGACTCTGTGCAGCGGGGACGGTCGCAGCCCATGCCCTGCCTGCTCCCTGGGGCCAGGCTGGACCGAGGTGTCCCAGCTGACAGGCGCAGGCCGCCAGGGCCTCCTTTGGCAAGACCTCAAGCTGGAAACAGGGCTCTGGTTCACGTGTGGCGTGGGCCCACCGAGGCCATCCACGTCCATGCGTGTCACTAAGACTGTTCAAACTGCAAAGGTGCAGTTCACAAAACACTCTTGATTTTTTCAGTCATTCACAAGAACTGAAAAAAGCCAGTGGTTAGGAATCATTTGAAAAGCAGTCTTCGCTCACAGCTATGCAAACCTGGGCCGTGGGTTTGCTCTGGGAGCCGTCGTGGGCTGTGCTTTGTTCTTTGGAAGAGTGGGTTTTCGAGGCTGGCGTTGTGGCGTAGTGGGTAAGCCTGCCGCCTGCAGTGCTGGCATCCCATATGGGCACCAATTCGAATCCCAGCTGCTCCACTTCTGATCCAGCTCCCTGCTGTGGCCTGGGAAAGCAGTGGAAGATGGCCCACGTCCTTGGGCCCCTGCACCCACGTGGGAGACCTGGAGGAAGCTCCTGGCTCCTGGCTTCAGATCAGCACAGCTCCAGCCATTGCAGCCAAATGGGGAGTGAACCAGCAGATGGAAGACCTCTCTCTCTCCCTCTCTCTCTCTCTGCCTTTCAAATAAAATAAAATCTAAAAAAGGAAACTCTGATAGGCATTAAAAAAAAAGTGAGTTTTCCAGCCCTCCAGGTTCTGAGGCGCAGCGGCTCCCGGCTGTGCCCTCGTTCTGTCTAGGACGCCTCAGCTTACCTCTGGGCGCACAGTGTGCTTCTGTATATGATTCGAGGGCTGGGCTGCAACCCCAGTGAAGACCCTGTGCTTGGGGCAGCACAGGCTGGGACTCTGCGGGCCATCAGAGGCTGGGTCCCTCCTGCACCAGGGCTGCCTCCTGAGCCCTCTGACTCCGGTGGGCCCGGCTGTGGGATGCTCACGGGGTGGAGTCGCCTGGAGCCCATCCAGGGCACTTTGAACAGGGGCCCCTGGTGGAGTGGGGTGACCGTGCCTGTGCCCTGCTCCTGGTCGTCTGCCGTCCCGGCGTCCCTTCCTGCCGGTGCTTCCTCTTGTGACTTCTGCGTGCAGAGCTCCTCACGTCTGCTCTGCCGCACGCGGCCTCGCACACGCACGTGGCCTCCTACACTCACGCGGCCTCGCACCCGCGCTCGTCCTGACTGCTCTGCCCGGGCAGCGCAGTGTGCTGTTGCTTATTTTTTGTTAGCTCAGCTTCTTCCTTTTTAAGGAATCAGAAAGCCCGGGCTCGGTGCGGCGTGTGGGGAACGTGCAGGGCTCCCGGGAAGCAGTGAACTCGCTCCCGCACTCTGCCCAGCAGGAGTCACTGCGGAGAGCCCCTCGCTCCCGCGGCGGCTGACGGAGTCCGGCTTTCTCTCCCCAGGTGCTGCAGGGCGCCCAGCTGATAGCCGTGGCCTCCTCGGACCCCGCCGCAGCGGGTGTGGACGGGTCACCCCTGCAGGGCAGTGACATCCAGGTCCAGTATGTGCAGCTGGCGCCTGTGAGCGACCACACGGCCACAGCCCAGGTGAGTCCTCGTGGCCCCAGCATGGGGCCCCGCCCCTCCGCAGGTTCACACTGGCCCTTTCTGGAGGGGGGGAAGTTACCATGGAGAGCACCTGACCAGGCACAGGGACGTGTGGGCTTTGGTTTTTTTTATGAACCCCCGAGAACTCGATGAGAAGTTAAGAAGTTAGGTCCTGGCTCCAGTCCCCACGTCAGGCGAACTGCTGAGGTTCTCCACCTCGTGTGGGTGTGGGGTCTACCCTCAGGGGCGGAGTGGGTGTGGGGTCTACCCTCGGGGGCGGAGTGGGTGTGGGGTCTACCCTCGGGGGCGGAGTGGGTGTGGGGTCTACCCTCAGGGGCGGAGTGGGTGTAGGGTCTACCCTCGGGGGCGGAGTGGGTGTGGGGTCTACACTCGGGGGTGGAGTGGGTGTGGGGTCTACCCTCGGGGGGGGGGGGGTGGGTATAGGGTCTACCCTCGGGAGGGGGGAGTGGGTATAGGGTCTACCCTCGGGGGGGGGGAGTGGGTATAGGGTCTACCCTCGGGGGGGGGGAGTGGGTGTGGGGTCTACACTGGGGCAGAATGGGTGTGGCCTTTCTCCTCTGCTCCTGGAGGCCGGCCGCAGGGCTCTCCTTGTCTCCCCTCCTGGAGGCCACGCGGCCGTACTCGGCACGGCAGCCTGCGCCCGCTAGGAGCTTCCCTCATATCCGGGTGTTCAGCACCCGTGCCCCCGGAGCGCCTGCCGCAGCGGGGCTTCCTCAGGGTGCCCAGGTCCCAGCTGCTGCCGTGTCATTGGAGGGGGGGGCTCTCTTTGGGATCCCCCTGGTGTGTGTCCTGGGGCCTCTCCCGTCAGCCTGGCCGCCACTTGGCTCCAGGTGGCGGGCTGTGTGGACAGTGAGTTGTAGGTGAAGGTATCACCCTGGTTCTGTGAGAACCCCAGGCTTGGTCCCGAGAAGGCAGGGCTGCCTGGATGCAGGATGGGGCCCCTGTGCGCTCAGTGACAGACGCACCCCTGCCCTAAACCAGGCAGGGCCGCCTGTGCACAGAGTGACAGACACACCCCTGCCCTAAAGCAGGCAGGGCCACCTGGATGCGGGACAGGGCCCCTGTGCGCTCAGTGACGGACGCACCCCTGCCCCCTAAACCAGGAGGGATCACCTGGATGCAGGACAGGGCTCTGCCCTCTGCCCTCTGCCCTCTGCCCTCTGCCCTCTGCCCTCTGCCCTCTGCCCCCGGTGGGCTCTGGCAGGCTCTGCCGTGCGCAGCACGCCCTCGCCGTCTGCTGTCTCAGGGTCTCGTCCTCCGTTGGGGGCCTGTGCTGCTGGTTGAGGTGGGGGATCTGTGACTGTTGCTTTGCCTGTGTGCACTGACAGGGACGTTAGGGTCTCCAAGGGAGCTCAGTGGCCCCCACAGTGCCCTTTAGGGACAGGGAGCAGAACCTGGAACCCTCCTGCGGCTGCTTCGCCAGTGCATCCTGGGCGGGGGCAGCCAGGCTGTCCCAAGTTCACGCGTGGGCGTGTCAGAGCAACCTGGGGTGCACGCTGTGTGGACGCAGCTGAGCGGCCTGGGTGTGCCCTGTGGGTTGTCAGCACGTGCTCTGCGTGGGCGCGCTGCGTGGACGCGGCCTGGGTGTGCCCTGTGGGTTGTCAGCAGTGCTCTGCGTGGGGCGCGCTGCGTGGACGCGGCCTGGGTGTGCCCTGTGGGTTGTCAGCAGTGCTCTGCGTGGGGCGCGCTGCGTGGACGCGGCCTGGGTGTGCCCTGTGGGTTGTCAGCAGTGCTCTGCGTGGGGCGCGCTGCGTGGACGCGGCCTGGGTGTGCCCTGTGGGTTGTCAGCAGTGCTCTGCGTGGGGCGCGCTGCGTGGACGCGGCCTGGGTGTGCCCTGTGGGTTGTCAGCAGTGCTCTGCGTGGGGCGCGCTGCGTGGACGCGGCCTGGGTGTGCCCTGTGGGTTGTCAGCGCGTGCTCTGCATGGACGCGGCCTGGGTGTGCCCTGTGGGTTGTCTGCGTGGACGCGGCCTGGGTGTGCCCTGTGCGTGTTCTTGAGAAGTGCCCTGTCTCCCCTTTGCAGACGGCTGAGACCCTGCAGCCCACCCTGCAGCCCGAAATGCAGCTTGAACACGGAGCCATCCAGATCCAGTGAGTGGGCGGGCCCTGTGGGCTGTGGCCCGGTCCCCTCGCCTGTCCTCGGCTTCGTGGCGGCGCCCGCCTGATCCCGCTGAGTGTGCGGGGAAGGTGCCCTGACAACCAGAGGACCCCGCCGTCCCTGCGAGAGCCCCTCGTGCTGAGTCTGTCCGGAGGAGGCCTCGCTGCCCGGGGCGCCGCGTGCTCTCACATACCGAGAACTAGGATATTTTTCTGTTTCAGCGGCTTTTTTTAATTTGCTATGGTGTTTATAACAAAAAAGAAAACTGAAAAAAAAAAAGGCGGTGGAGCAGCAGGCCCCGGCCGTGCGCTCCGCTCAGTGTGCGGGAAGGAGGTGTCGCAAGGCGCGGGTGCTGGGCGGGACGCCGCTCACCGACTTGTGGGGGCCTCGCTCCAGCACCGCAAGGATGCGCTTCTGATGAAATAAATGTATTTATGGCCACAGCCGCTCCGCCGTCTCTTCTGGGGCGCTTCCGTCGCTGGGCTGGGCGGGCAGGCGGCCTCCAGGGCGGCTCAGCCACTGCCGCTTGGGGGCTCCCTGCCCTGCGGCCAGCAGTCCCCGTGTGCTCGGCTGGTGGGCACCAGGCCCCAGGGCCGGCCGGGGAAGTCGCTGCGGGAGTCTCGCTTGGTCAGAGCTGGCTGCTGGCGGGAGAGCCCACAGCGGGAGGAGGCACGGACCCCCTTTCTCCCTCCCCGCTTCTCCCCCACCCCCTCCCTCCCTCTCCCCCTGCCCCTCTTCTCTCCCCCCTCCCTTACTCTCCCTGTCTCCGTTTCTATCCCTTTTCTCCCCGTTTTCTCTCTCCCACTCTGTGTCCCCCACACGCGTGTGCACACACGTGCACGCACAAGCACACCCTCTGGGTGCCCCGTGCACCAGTGCTGCCAGCAGGTTCTGAGGCTGCAGCCCCTCTTGGGTGCGCTCGGCACGCAGCACCCAGCCTCCGCGAGCCGTGGCCACCTCCGTGCCTCCCAGCCTCGTTCTCCACAGCCCGGCCTCAGGAGCACCAGGGGGCAGGGCCTGTGGGCGCAGCCCAGAGCTCTGGGGAGTGTGTTCAAGCTTGGAGTGGCCACAGGGGAGGGGCCCCATGGAAGCCCGGGCCGCAGCCGGGTGCTCAGCCTGAGCTTGTGCCGTGCGCACGGCGTCCTCCCCGGGGCACGGGCTCGGGTGGTGTGCGTGCCCCCGGGACGTCTTCTTATTATTATTACTATTATTATTTTAAGGATTTATTTATTTGAGGCCGGCGCTGCGGCTCACTAGGCTAATCCTCCACCTGCAGCGCTGGCACACCGGGTTCTAGACTCATTTGGGGCGCTGGGTTCTGTCCCGGTTGCCCCTCTTCCAGGCCAGCTCTCTGCTGTGGCCCGGGAAGGCAGTGGAGGATGGCCCAGGTCCTTGGGCCCTGCACCCCATGGGAGACCAGGAGGAAGCTCCTGGCTTCGGATCGGCGCAGCACGCAGGCTGTAGCAGCCATTTGGGGGGTGAACCAACAGAAAAAGGAAGACCTTTCTCTCTGTCTCTCTCTCTCACTGTCCACTCTGCCTGTCAAAAAAAGATTTATTTATTTGACAGAGTTACATATAAAAGGTCTTCCATCCGCTGGCTCATGCTCCAGGTGGCTGCAATGGCCAGGCTGAAGCCAGGAGCTTCCCCCGGGTCTCCCATGCGGGCGCAGGAGCCCAAGCACCTGGGCGTCCTCCCCTGCTTCCCCAGGCCCTTACCAGGGTGCTGGATCGGAAGTGGAGCAGCCGGGACTGGAATACGGGGTGTGAGCCTCACAGGCGGCCACTTCACCTGCTGCGCACTGGGGCCACAGCCGGTTCAGAGACGCGGCCCTGCGGTGCAGGTGGAGAGCCGTTTCCCCGAGCAGCAGGGAAGGGTCCAGCTCCGGCTCTGGCCAGGCGTTGGGCAGATCCGCGGCAGGCGCTCAGAGCCTCTGCCCTGTGAATGCGCTGACGGGGTCAGGCTGCTGGTTCCCAGCGCCCAGTGTCGACGCCTCCATGCCCACTTCGTCCCGTCCAGAGCCGAGAACGTCGGGGCTGAGGGCAGCGACTGGAAACTGCCCCAGGCGGGCCTCGGATCTCCCCAGACGCCACCTCCCCTACCCCACCACCTCCCCTACCCCGCCACCTCCCCTACCCCGCCACCTCCCCTACCCCGCCACCTCCCCTACCCGCCACCTCCCCTACCCCACCCCGCCACCTCCCCTACCCCGCCACCTCCCCTACCCCGCCACCTCCCCTACCCCACCCCACCACCTCCCCTCCCCCGCCACCTCCCCTACCCCGCCACCTCCCCTACCCCGCCACCTCCCCTACCCCGCCACCTCCCCTACCCCGCCACCTCCCCTACCCCGCCACCTCCCCTACCCCACCAACAGGACGCGAGCCGTTGGGTTTGATGGGAAGTGTGGTGGGGCTTACTGTCTCTTGCAGCAGTTAAGCTGCTGTCTGCCGTCCTGGGTAGAATCAGCTTCCAGATGACCCCGACCCCCGGGTGCCCCAGCCAGCCTTCTTCCGGTCCTCACCCTGTTTGCGGGAGGCTCATCTGGTGCTGTGGGCGGGGCCGGCTGCAGCCCCTGAGCCCCGGGCGCTTCCTGGGCTCTCCGTCTCTGCAGCCCTGGGCCCCGGGAGAATCCAGCGGTTCTCAACCCAGGGCGATTCTACCCCCACCAGGAGGCAGTGGCTGAAGTCTGGAGCCCCCTGGGTGTGCGTGGGGTGGAGGTAGGAGCTTGGGCCAGAGTGGACGGAGTGTGGGGGGGGGCTGCCCAGGTCAGAAACCTCCGGTGTAAACCGGGCTCTGGCCTCAGTGGGCCTCGCGAGGACACTCCTGGGGAGCCTTGGACGTGCTGGGACCGCACCGCGGACCACGAGCTGGCCTGGGGGCCTCCTGGTGCAGGTGTATCAAGTTCAGCCCAGGCCTTGTTTGTAAAGCAGGACTCTGTTTAGAGAAAGAGCGTGGTGCGTGCAGGAGGTTCTGGATCCCGGGAAGTGGCTTCTCTGGAGCGGACCCGGGCGGGAGCAGAGGGGTCCGGTCCCCTCGGGGCAGGGCCCCAGCACATGGTGCCACCTGCGTCGTGTGGCAGAGCTTGGTGAGCAGAGGGCGCAGCGAAGTGCTTCCGAGAACAGGCAGAGAGTATCGTGGTAGGGGGCCTGGGAGGCTGAGGGCGGGGTGGGGTGTCCTGGTCCTGGGGAGCCCAGCCCTTCTGGGAGCCTCCAGCCTCTGCCACACAGGTGCGTGGGAAATGAAGGTGGCGAGCGGTTTGTTTCGGTGCAAAAAGTCTCCGATCTGTGCAGTTTTCATAACGCGGGTTTTCCGCGAACCCTGCGAAGACCTCAACGTGCAGATTTCTAAGTTTTGTGCGAAAACAAGGACTCGCCCTTGAATCCTGCTTTTCCGCAGACTTCTGGACGGGCCGCGTACCTCGGCGGCTCGCGTAGCGGGACGTGGGTCCCGAGGACTGGGCGCTGCAGCTGCCCTGTGGCGTCCCTGCCCTGGCTTGCCCATGCGCCTGCACGTGCCGGTTCCTCTGTTCCAGGGAGAGGCTTGGGTACGCACCTGAGCCAGTCCCTCCTGGCACCAGGCCTGGCCACGACTGCACCCGGCGAGCCTGGCGAGCCCCAGGCTGCGCTGTCTCCCCTGCAGGTGCTGTGGGAAATGACTTTACTCTAAGAACGCCCGGCTGGGCTCGAGACCCAGGGTGCCTCCGTCGGCCGGGAGTTAACATCTCTGAGCCCCCTCTCTAAGCTGGGGGTGACGACACCGGTGCCCCAGGTTCTTGGGAAGGATGTGTGTGATTGTGTAGTGGGGTGAGCTGTGTACCCCAGAAGGTAGGCTCAGGATCCAGGCCCCGGACCTGTGAGTGTGGCCTTTGCAGATGTCAGTGAGGGTGAGGTCGCCTTGAGGTCGCCTTGGACCCAGTGGCTGGCGTTCTTTGGAGAGACACATAGACACCACAGAGGGGAGGCTCTGTGAAGAGAGCCAGGCCTGAAGGGAGGTGGCCACGGGGCAAGGGACTCCTGGAGCCACCGGGAGCTAAAGGAGACAGGACGGTTCCTGCCCCAGAGCCCTGGGGTGGGGGTGCCATTCTGCCCGTGCCTTGGTTTCAGGGTTGCAGGGCCCAGCACTGTGGAAGGAAGCATTTCTGTTGTGTGAAGCCCGGGGCTGGGGGCTGTAGCCGTGGTTGGCTGTAGCCGTGGCTGGTGGCTGTAGCCGTGGTTGGTTGGCTGTAGCTGTGGCTGGTGGCTGTAGCCGTGGCTGGGGGCTGTAGCTGTGGTTGGCTGTTGCCGTGGCAGCTCCAGGGAACAGAGTGGACACCAGAGAGGCCTGTGCAGCCTCTTGGGCGGAAACTGCTGACGGCTTCTCTGAGTTGCCCTTCTGATGAAAACCCACGGCCTTACCTGTGGCCTTTGAGGGGCTCAGAGCTGACGACGAAGCTCTAAAACCAGGTGCTGGTGCCGTGGCACAGCGGTTAAGCCCCCTGCATGCTGGCAACAGTGTCGAACTCTGGTTCGAGTCCCGGCTGCTCCGCTTCCAGTCCTGCTCCCTGTTGTGGCCTGGGAAAGCAGCAGAGGACGGCCGAGTGCTGGGGCTCCTGCAGCCGCGTGGGAGACCTGGAGGAAGCTCTGGGCCCTGGCTCCTGCCTGAGCCCAGCCGCAGCCGTTGTGGCCATCCGGGGAGTGGACCAGCGGGTGGACGATCTCTCTCGCACTTTCTATAACTCTTGCCTTTCAAATAAATAAATAAATCTGAAAACAGGCCGTTTAAAAAAAATAAAAGAAAGCAACAGAGACGCTGTAGGCACGTGTGCCCAGGCTGGGGTCTCAGCTGCAGCTTCTGAAACCTGCTGAGAAGTTGGAACCTGCATCAGAGGAGGGGCAGGAGCCGGCACGCCGTTCCCTCCTGCCTGGAGCATGGGCGAGGGAGAGCAGCCCCGGGACACCGCAGAGGGACAGCAGGTCGGCCCCGGGGACGGCCCAGGGACACTGGGGGACAGTTACTGGTCATGGACGACAGCCGTGGGGACATGCGAGGTAGCCACGGGGCACTGAGGTGACAGCTTAGGTCATGCATGTGCCTGTGAGTGTGTGGTACATAGATGGCACGTGTGTCTAGGCGTGTGTGATACATACTTGGATCGTACATGTGCCCAGGTGCGTTGTATATGCTTTGACCATAATGTGCCCATGTGTGTGGCACAGTACATGCTTAGGTCATACATGTGCCCACGCTCCGGCTGTTGCCTGTTCCTGCCCTCACTGGGTCCCCACCTGGGTGGTGCCCTGGAGACAGCGGCTCCAGCGTTGAGAATGAGTGCGTCGGCCTCCGCCCACACCGCACAGCACTGACCCAGCCCTGCTCGGGCATCTGGGTCGCCCAGGCCAGCGCACGGCTCACCATCTGCAGGTGCCTGTAGCAGAGCCGGTTTCTGCGAGGACCGCGACTT